AAAATGCTGTCAAGATTGATCTCATCCAGAAGGCCTTTCCTGAATAATTATCTTGGCCCAAAGTGTCAGCTAATCTTTCTTCCTCCATGCTGCTGCTAATTGCTCTGTACTGTTATGTTGCTGTGTTTTAATTTATTTACCGTACTGTTTTAAACTCTCTTAGATTAATAACTTTTTAAAGGGTGGGTGGGGCTTGGGGACTGGATGTGTTTTACTGATGTTTGATTTGTTGTAAGCCACCCCAGTTGCGCTGCAGAGGGGTGGGATAGAAATAAATTTTATTATTATTATTATTATTATTATTAGCTTTAAGAAATTTTGCTTAGTTCTTACTGAAAAGGCAATGAACATCATTCACCATCAGTAATAGATAAATTCAATAGTTACAGTATGGAGGTGATGGTACACAATTGTACATACTACACAATTGTAGCTCAGTTATTCTACTTTAACTGCTATTGTGCCATCCAATGGAATCATGGGATTGGCAGTTTAGGGAGATTTCCCAGCCAGAATGTTCCACTGCCTCAAGAAACTATAAACCACAGGACTCAAAAGGATGGAATTATAATATTTAATGTGGAATAATAATGCTAAAATTATGTAGTGTGAATGGGTCTCTTGTTTGACATGCCTATAATATTGCTGCTAAAGATGAGAAGGGTGTTGAGTGGAGGGAGGGAAAGCAACCATATGTCAATACAACAAAGGTGGCTGAATAAACAAGGAATCCTGCACAAACTTTTAACAGCTAAGCATTCAAAGCCCTCTGCCTGGATGAATGAATCTGTTAGTCTGCTATTTTTCATATTTTAAGTCTTTTACTCTAACATTCTCTCTATGGAATTCATCAAGAAATTTGTCCATTTCTGAAAATTACAAAAAAACCAGCCCACATTTTTAACCCAACACCAATCATTTGGTTCTAATTTGGAGGCAAGACAATTGATCCCATCTGATCTTGGAAGCTAAGCAGAGTCAGCTGTGGTTAGTACTTGGATGGGAGACCACCAATACTTGGATGGGAGACCAACAAATACTAGGTGCTGTAGGCTATATTTCAGAGGAAGTAAGTGGCAAAACCTTCTCTGAGGATTCATTGTCTAAGAAACCCTATGAAATTCATTGGGTTACTATAAGCTGACAGGCAACTTGAAGGCACATTACACACATGGTTTGCACAAACCATAGTTTGCCCAGTTTGGATTCAATAGTAATTTATGATTTGCTTAAAGCAAGTGTGAGAGGGAGCCAGAAACACACCAAAAAAAAAACTGTATATCTGTCCTACACATTGTAGCAGGTTAACACAACTTTAGTTGTCATGGATCCACCCTACACAATCCTGAGTTTGTAGTTTGATGAGGTACTTAAAACTCTCTGGAGACAGGTACTAAACTGTTCAGTTAGAAAACTCTGAGTAGCGGTACCTCATCAACCACAGTATTTCATCAATCACAGAATTCCATGGATAGAACCATGTGGTTAAAGCATTACCAAAGTGGTATAACTGCACAGTTGACTTTAATGGATTTGCTGGGCTGCTCTTTCCACAATTCATGAAACATCTGAGTCACTGTAACATAGACTAGTCTAGGGATGATTACATGTTAAACATTAACCTCAAGATTAGCATCATGTTAGGTTTATTGATTACAGTGTTCCCTTCCCACCCATGGGGATTTGGTTCCCCCACAGACACTGTGGATAAGAAAACATGCATGCTTAAACCCCATTATAATCAATGGGAGCAATGTGCTGCGTGCATGCACTATCATTGACAATACTTAATGGGACAGGGTGATCTGAGAACTCTTAAATTTGCAGATGGCTAGTCTGACAATTCAGCAAGCCCACTGTATTTGGTGTGCAATGTCTTCTGTGTTGAAATAAATCCCCTCTCTCCTCAGAGAGATCAAGCTATTAATATAGAGCTTATACATCAGATATATAAATATTCATATCACCACCCATGTGTAAAAATAAATAAGTTCATCAATGTGCAAGGTGCTATTTTAATTTATATATAGAACATTGTGACTGTTACAGTCCCAAAGATACAAGTACTTTCATTGTATGATTAGTGACTACTATTAAAAGTACCACTAACAAACTATATTTTGCCAAAATATAGCAGTTCCCCAGGAGAGTGTGCTGAGGACTACAGATATGGGAACTTTAAACTCAGGGATAGTGACAGTTAACAATTTTAAATGTTTCCCAGAGGAAGCAAAAATATGCCATTTGTTCACTTTAATAGCAGGAGAAAGATGCATGGAGAGGAAAGTCACATGCAAAGTGATGCTCCAATAATTTATATTATATTGGGGATGACTATTGTATACTAGCAAAAATGAGGACAAAAAAAAGCATCTATCAACATTCACAAAAAGAGGCACATTTTTGTTCCATGGAGTCAAGTTTTGTTGCATAATCTAGAAAGAACTAGGCTCACATTGTAGGCATTCTGTGACACAGTCATCTGAAATTTGTAAAGATTTTCATAAGTTTCAGCCACTTCCCATGTACATGCATTTTTTAAAAAACTGCAAAGGCAACTTCCAGTCATGGGGCTGAGGAGTTCATTTGTGTGTTGGAGAAGCTCTCTGACTCCATCTTCCAAAAAGGGAAGGGATTCGGTGCTTGGGTCTTGAAGGAGGCAAAGAAAGTGTGGGTGAACCAAAGAACTAAATAATAAAATTATCCAAATACAAATACATTTGGAGAAGACACCCCACAGCCAGAAAGCCAGAATGCATCCAAGTGCCTTTTCTTTAGGATACCTTGAGTAATCAAGGCAAACCTCACCACGACTTAGTAGTTAACTAAAGGCATTGGAGCAACTAACTGGTGAATACCTGGTTGGTAAAGCATAGCCTTTATCCTAACTTGAGGCTTCAGTTTGTTCAAACAAACAAGGACATCTTCCTTTTTTCTAACAATAAAACAATCATTCAGGAATTGATTCAGGAGCTGGAGTAAGAACACCACCACAGTGCTATAACCACAGCAGCAGCAAATAGATCGAGGAGATGCCCTCTCTATTCCAAGGCAAGTCAAAGAGCTACTTCACAAAATAAAAAGCCTACAAATAATCAAATTGTGCTATATCAATGAAATTAAATAACAAGAAATCCAACAAGATTAAACTCCTGAAAAATATACATCTTTTACCTTGGATAACCAGAGGAAACAGATGACATGGATGCGAATGAGGAGACAGTTGTGAAAGTGAAAATCAGCAGTGGAGCAATAGAGAGATCAGGAAGTGGGGGAAAACGAGGGTGAAGTAAAACCAAGGACATAAACTCTGATTTTAGTCCAACCCTCAACGAGTATTCATCATGGCACTCTTTGAACTCAAGTTACCTTTCACCTTTGTTCTCCATTGCAGCATCTGTGATATTTTCTGCTCTGGGTTCAAATTCACCCAGTACTGAAGGAGAAATATCCAAAGCAATTTGAATTTTAAAATCTGGCAAACCACCTAGACCTGACAGCTTCACGGCTTGTTTTGTTGTTGTTAACTGCCCTCAAATCAATCTCGACTCATGGCGGCCCTATGCATGAGACATCTGCAAGACTCTCTGTCCTCCACTGCTCTGCTTAATTCCTACAACCCCTTAATACCTGTGTCCTCCTTAACAGAGTCCATCCATCTAGCATTTGGCCTTCCTCTCTTCTTACTTCCCTCCACCTTCCCCAGCACTATTGGTTTTTTTCCCAAAGAGTTGTCCCTTCTCATGATGTGTCCAAAGTATGACATCATCACTTTGGTCATTTGGCTTCCAGGGAGGTTTCCGGATTGATCTGCTCTAAGACCCACTTGTTTGTCCTTTTGGCTGTCCATAGGATCCTCAGCACTCTTTTCCAGCCCCACTTTATCTCAAATGCATTGATTTTCTTCCCATCATCTTTCTTAACTGTCCAGCTCTCACATCCATTAATGGTCATAGGGAATACAATGGCTTGCATGAGTCTAACTTCTGTACTGAGTTGTATATCTTTGTATTTCAGAATCTTTTCCAGTTCTTTCATAGCTACCCTCCCCATTCTTAGTCTTCTTCTGATTTCCTGACTGCAGTCCCCATTTCTATCAATGTTTGATCCCAGGTACGGGAATTCTTTTACTATTTCTATTTCTTTATTGTCTAGGTTGAACTTGTGAAAGTCCTCAGTGGCCATTATCTTTGTTTTCTTGATGTTCAGCATTAAGCCTGCCTTTGCACTTTCTTCTTTGATCTTCCTTAGTAGGTGTTCAAGGTCTGTGAGGTTTTCTGCTAGTATTATGGTGTCATCAGCATATCTCAGATTGTTGATATTCCTTCCTCCTGTTTTCACTCCTCCCTCTTCCATGTCCAAACCTGTTTTTTTACAATATGTTCTACATATAAGTTG